AAACCAACCCAAATCACCTTTTCTTTTTTTTGGTTTTGTGAGATGGTCTCACCATGAAGTCCAGGCTGACCCCAGTGCTTCAGCCTCCCGAGTGCTGAAATCACATGTGTGTGTACCATACTCAGCTTGTCCCTACAGTCTGAATCTGCAGTAACCGTAATTCATAAAGCATAACTGTTTTCCATTTCTTGGGGAAATCTATGCTCTAAATCCCACAAATCTGGTTGTTCTTGGATGCCAAGTGTTTCTGGTTACAGCAAGAGTAGTCCTTATTAATTCATAACATAAAACACTTTAGCAAATAGAATTGTAAGGGTGTGTGTGTTCTGCAGTGCTGAGGACTGAATGCAGGACCCTGTGCATGCTAGCCAAGAGTTGTACCACTGAGCTACATCCCCAGCCCACAATTTCAATTTTTATTTCTTGGTACAGATGTTAAAATTGAACCAATCTTTAAAGCCAGTTGTAGACGCCAGGGAGATGGCTCAGTGGAATAAGTGCTTGCCTGAGTTCAATCCCTGGTTCTGAAAATAAATAAATAAGGACACAATATTAATTAAGCAAGTTTCTAAGAGCAGATACAGAGAGAACAGGGTGGTTTCGCATCAGAACGAACTTTACAAATACACAGACTGGCATCATATTTAGCTAAAATCAGTACCAGAAGCAGATCTGGCAGCCGTGTTAGTGCCCCACCTGCAGCCACAGCTACTCAGGAGGATCACACAGTCAGGGTCAGGCTGGGGATGTAGATGACCACTAAAGCACCTGCTTAGCATGTGTAAGGTTCTGGTTTTAGTATCCCGCACCATAAGAAACAAAAACCAAAGCCAGGTGTGGTAGTACATGCCTGTAATCCCAGCACTTGGGAGGCTGAGGCCAGGCTGGACTACATAGTGAGTTCAAAGGCAACCTGCATTACAAAGTAAGTCTTTGTTTCAAAAAGAAGAACAAAATAAAATAAAATGCAACACAACAATAAGAAAAAGGAAAGCACTACTTTTTTTTTTTTTGAGACAGAGTCTTTTTATGTACTTCAGGCTGACCTTAAACTCAAGGCAATGCTCCTGCCTCAGCTCCCTGGTAACAGGCATGTCATCATACCTGGCTTTTCTTGGTGTTTTTTGAGACAAGAGTCTCACTATGTAGTTCAGGCTGGCCTCAGTAGGCTATATGGTCAGGAGGGCGATGGAAGGGAAAGAGGAGGGGGTGAGGAGAGAAGAAAAGACAATTTTAAGTCTGAAAAATCAGTATTTCTGTTCTCTAAGCTTTTCCTAGAGATTAAGAACTGCCAAAAGTTACTTTCCAGTCGGGAAGATGGCTCAGCAGTGTAAGTACCTGCCTGTATGTGCGAGGTCCTGAGTTTGATCCCCAGTACAAAAAAAAAAAGTTAATTTCCATTCTTGGAAATAGAAATGTAGATCCCTTTAACATATGTCCTGAAAGTAGTTAACAAACCCTTAACAAATCCTACTAGCTGGGTGTATCAGCACATGGCTAGTAAGGCTATAATCTCAGCACTACTTGGGTGGTTGACGCAGGAGGACTGCCATGAGTTTGACTATATAATGAGACCCTGTCTCGAAGAAAAAAAGAACAGAGAAGAGGGGAACTGGGCTCCCAAGAGAGGCACAGAAGACCATCACTGTGAGACTGTGCCTCGCATTTCTTTACTTTGTGTTCATGTGTGCGTGCGCTGCTGGAGATGGAACCCAGGCATGCGAGGCAGGCCCTCTACCCTGATCTACACCCAGCTCAGCCCAGTCTTCCGCTTCTAGATCAGGCAAATTATTCTTCACTCTAAGTTCGCTGAACTATTTGTAGGCCACTGTAAGCACTTTTAGACGTTGCTCTCACTCTACAGGGAGTACTTATTTTTCATACCTTAGTAAATGTCACTACCTTTAAATAAATACAATTTTAAAAAGCAACAGTAAGAAGTAGAAGTCCTATGAGAACATCTGAGATGCTAAATTTTATATGGAGAGCATAGAAAGGAAGAGCTGTTGAGAGCAATGAATACTCACAGGCGGAGCTCTTCAAAAGACTTCACTGAGTAGAGCGGGGAGCTGGGGTCCCGCTGCAGGACTTCCACTTGGTTTGTGTTATCGACAAGGTTGCTTCTGATCAGCTTGTTGAGTAAAGACTGGGCAGCTCTGTCCTCTATCCAAGAAACCAGAAGATTTTGTAGCTACATAAAATCAAGCCCCACCCTGGGAAAGTGCTCTATCTCCCTGAGCCCTGGCACCAGGCAGTTATGCATGGCTGGAGGAAACACCCACATTGGCAGCTCTTCCTTTAAATTTGTTTTAATTGTTGGTACTAGGATTGAACCCAGGACCTCTGGACTCAGCTATAGCCCAAGTCTGTTTTATTCCCAGACAGGGTCTCACTAGATTCCTAAAACTGTCCAGGCAGGGCTAGCGCTCCTGATGCCTCTGCCTCTCAGATGGCAGGATTATAGGCAGCCCCTGTACCCAGCTCTTTTTTTTTTGGTGCAGGGTCTCACTATGCAGCCCCGACTTATAGTGATCCTCCTGTTTTTAGCCTCACTAATGCTGGGATTACAGGCGTGTGCCACCATGCCCAGACTCCATTGTTGGCTCAGCGCACCTGGGGGCGGGGCCGGCATGACATGCGGTGCCAGGATCAAACCCTGGCCCCTGCACTTGCCTAAGCAAGTGCTTAGTCTGCTGAGCTATCTCACCGGCCCTCCTAATTCTTGACTACAAGACTCCAGTATACTGATCAACACAGGAGGCCTTCTCATTTTTATAGTCTACTAATTCATCCTGCTCCTGAAACCTTCATGCTACCTTCTCTGTCCTCAAGCCTTCAAGTTCTCCACGTTGTCACTCTGGATGTCAGCTGTACAGCTGCCCACATAGGGCCCATCCACGTCTGTGTACAAGACCCAAGCCCGTTTTTTCACCTCTTTATAAGCCTGCCTCTTCTCATTCATTACTCCCCTTTCTCTATTTATAGACCTGTCTGTTTACTACTGCCCTTTCTGGAACATTCTCTACAGCTGCCAGTACTCATTTCTTCTCCTTCCCTTTCTGTTCAGTGTAAACCCTCAAAAGCTTCTGATAAGGTTCTGAATGATTTCCACATGCCAAAGTGATCCAATGGTCAATCTGCAGTTAATTTTTCTTTGAGGTGGGATCTTGCTATGTTGGCCTCAAATTGCAATCCTCCTGCCTTGGCCTCACGAGCAGCTAAAACTACAGAAATACAGAGCTCAGCCCAGCGCTAGCTGTTCTCTTAACCATTCTGTCACCAATAGCTGACACATGACTTTGGACACACTTCCTCTGGCTTCTAGGACATAGCACTGTAACCAGCACTCTGTTTCCCTTTGGCTCTGCCCCAGTCTCCTTGAAGACTCTGAACTATAACTCAGCACCCCCAGCTCCAAGAAGACAAGGCTAGGCTCAGGCTCTGTCCCTTGACCCAGGGCTTCTAGTGGTCACCTTTCTCCTCTTCATCTGTCTTCTCTGCAGTGGGGCTGGTTTTGACAATACCTACAGAAGAAAAAAGTTGTCACTGGGAAGGCAATTTTTAAATCAACCTAACACTAAAACCTGCTTTGTGACCCAAATGTAGCAACTGGTATTTTTTTTTTCTTTCTTTTTTTAAATTTATTTGGTGCAGGGTCTCACTACACAGCTCGGACTCATAGTGATCCTCCTGTCTTAGCCTCCCCAGCACAGAGATTACAGGCATGTGACACCAAACTCAGTTTGTCCTATATATCTTTCTGGAATTTATCCCACAAAACACTACACACATACATAAAAGAATTTAAGTTCATGGTTATTCCATAAAGCACTGTTTATAAGAACAAAAGAATGGGACAAAAACCATTTAACAATAGATGACTAGTTAAATAAACTGTGGTGTAACACACAAATACAATACCATGTAGTTATACAACTGAGAAAACAGTATGTTCTGACATATAAATCTTTTCTTTTTTTTTTTAATGCTTTAATAGGAACATTTAGCTAATGACAACCAAATGCAGAACTTGGGAAAGAAGCTTTCACACTACATACATAATTTTTCTTTTTTCTGAGATAGGATCTTATTTATTTATTTTGTGTGTGTGTGTGTGTGTGTGTGTGTGTGTGTGTGGCCAGTTCAGCCCACCAGGGGGCGGGGCTGGCTGGCATGTGGTGCTGGGGATTGAACCGCGGTCCCTGTGCTTTTGCTTAGCTTAGCTTGTTCTAAGTAGGTGCTTTAGACCACTGAGCCATCTCACCAACCCAAGAGATAGGGTCTTATGATGTAGTTCAGGATAGCTTTGAACTATGTTGTCTGACCTCATGGCAAGCCTCCTGCCTCAGCCTCCTGAGGCCTGGGCTTATAGGCATGCACTACTGTGCCTGGCTTAAAATTCTATGTTTGTACTATTTGCTTTGTGTATCAAAACTATAGAAGCATGTCAAAAATCTAGTAACCATGTTCACTTATAAGACGAGGCGTTATGAGTTGAAGTATATCTTCTTGAAATTCCTACTCTCATGTTCTAACCGCCAGAACCTGAGAATGTGACCTAATTTGGAATGGAGTGACTGCAGGTGTAAGTAGTTAAACTAAGGTTTCTAAAGTGGGAGTCCCCAACCTGTGACAGGAAGCTCAGTAGCAATCTCTGGCCTGGTAGGACCAGGCCACACAACAGGTGGTGAGCAGTACATGAGCAGCGACCTTGATCTGTATTTCCAACCCTGCAGGATGAGTCAAGCATCCCGAAACCATACTCTCCCCCTTCCCATGGAGAAACTGTCTTCCATGAAACTGCTTCCTCATACCAAAAAGACAGAAAGTTTGGAGACTACTGCTCTAATGTGTGTGCTCTTATCCAGTACAACCAGTAGCAAAGGCAGACAGCCATCTGTCACGTATCTGACTCTGTAATCATTTTTTTTTCCTGTGTTTTTTGAGACAGGGTCATGCTCATGTAGTTCAGCCTGGCTTTGAACTCACTCTGTAGTCTAGGCTGACCTTGAGCTCATGGCGATGTTCCTGCCCCAGCCTCCCGAGTAGTGCTGAGATTACAGATGTGTGTCACTACGCTCAGCAAGTACTGATACTTTTTAAAAATATTTTTAAAACATTTATTTACTTATTTATTTGGTACAAGGTCTCGCTACATGGCTCAGACTGGTATGATCCTCCTGTCTCAGCCTCCCCAGCACAAAGATTACAGGCATGTGACACCAAACTTGGTCTCAGTGGCCGGCATGGCATGTGGTACTGAGGATCGAACCTGGGTCCTTGCCAGGCAGGTGCTTACACCACCAAGCTATTGCCCCAGTCCAAGTATTTTAAAGCAAAAAAAAAAAAAAAAAAAGTCCCAACAACATGACTGGGTCTGTATAAAAAGAAAAAACTGAAGACTGGAGATGTACCTTAGCAAGAACGCACTCACCTCATATACTCGAGGGTTCAATCCCCAGCAACACAAACAGAGGTGGCACTACAGGGCACCAGACATGCCCCCAGGGGGCTGCTCCATGGAGATGAAGGCAGACAGGGGAGATGTGGTATAAATCATGGGACCCCAACTGCAGCAAACCAGAGATACGGGGAGAGGCCTGGAGCATCCTCCTCCTCCCTGCCTGGGAGGCAGCCAACTTCACGACACCCTAGCTGTCCAAGCCCTGAGCTGCACGGTGCTACTCTTCACCCAGCCTCATGGTGCTCCACTGGGACAGCCCTTGCAAGTGGATGGGAGGAGGCTGCCCTCACATCTTTTTATATGGAGTGTGGAACCCAGATTGTTCTTTAAAAGTTTAAAAATATTTCCAGGGGCTGGGGAGATGGCTCAGTAGAATAAGCACTTGCCTGGCAAGTGCAAGGGTCCGAGTTCAATTCCCAGTTCCACCAAAAAAAAAAAAAAAAAAAAAAACCAGCAGTAACTAAACAGGTACAACAGTAATTCTTTTTTTAATGTATTTAGTACAAGTCTACAGGGTCTCACTACACAGATTGGACTCATAGCGATCCCCGTTTTCAGGTTCCCAAGAGCTGGGATTACAGGTGTGCCATCACGCACAGTCTCAGTGGCTGTCTCAGGGTGCCCCAGGGGCAGAGCCCACACGGCATGCAGGGGATCAAACCCAAATCCCTGAGCCTGCCTTAGCAGGTGCTTTAGTCAGCTGAACTATGTGGCCAGCTGTACAACAGTAATTCTTGATGTTAAGGGAGTCAGAGGCTAGAAAAACCTGGCAAATGAGCATATGGCCCCTTCAGTAATGAAATCTAACTTTAGGTTCTAGGTTCCAGCGCTGTCTTTTGCCAAACATATCCTCAAGGAAAGCGCCACTGCTTGCTGCAGCTGTGAGGACAAAACAGCCTGTGTGTAACTTGCATCTCACCCACAGGCACTAGTTACTCACCATTGGTTTCCGGTTTGACTTTCTCTTCCTTGATCTGCAAACTGCTCATCTGAATAGGAACAAAAGGAGACAGGGTAAGCACTGGCCCCAAAGAGGAGTCAGCAAAGAAGAGCTCCCTAGGGACAGTCTAGCAAGAACCACTGCACAGCTATAGTCAGAGAGCTGGTCTGTTCTGCTCAATGCAGAATTGCTAAAAGACCAGGCAAAAACATTCCATGCACCTTCAGCATCCTGGGGTGGTGTGCTAAATGTTATGGTAGGAAGAAAGAGTGTAAAAGAACCTAAAACCTCCGCTTTCTTCCCGGGAATACTCTTTCTAGAATGTCTAATCTTTACTAAATATCATGTCTTTTCAGTGGTACAATCAGTCACAGTTCCTTCCTTTCTTGTTTTTTGGCGTGATACCAGGGATTGAACTTGGGACACTGTACCTGCCAGGCAGGTGCTTAAGCCACTGAACTATATTCCCAGCCCCACAGTTCCTTCTTGAGAATGACACCACTTACACACCTCAATAAGCTCCCTATCCCACCCAAAGCACTGGAGACTATTCTTAGGGCCTCAAGAACACCAGGCAAGGGCCCCGCCAAATAGCTCTTCAGATTAAAGCCCCTGCAAGCAGGCGCAGGGGCCAAGGGTCCGATCCCAGGGCTTGCTGTACCAGCCCTGCCCCCAGGCGCACTGAGACACTCATTGAAACTGGACATGGTGGCGCATGCCTAT